CCATTTTACATTCTCACCAACAGTGTATAAGTGTCCCAGTCTCTCTACAACCTCTCCTACATTTATTATTTTGTTTTTTGAATTAATGCTAGCCTTGTTGGGGTGAGATGGTATGTCATTGTAGTTTTGATTTGCATTTCTCTAATGGCTAATGATTGATTTCCTCAAGTATCTGGTAGCTGCCTGAATGTTTTCTTTGGTGAAATGCCTGTTCATATTCTTTGCCCATTTTTTAATTGGGTTATTTGTCTCTCTGTTGTAGAGGTTTTGCAGTATCTTGTAGATTTTAGAGACTTAGACCCTGATCAGGTTTGTTTTACCCAAAAATTTTTTCCCGGTCTGAAGGTTGACTTTTTACTCTTTTGGTGAAGTCTTTCGATGAGCATAAGTGTTTTATTTTTAGGAGCTCCCAGTTTTCTAGTTTCTCTTCTGGTGTTTGTGTAGAATGAATTTTTAAAATTTATGTGAAATATCAATTGCTTAGGTTATTGAAGGAAATTAAACAAGTGGACCACCACCTGTCTGTTAGTTTGTCTTACTTTGGTTGCTTGCATGTTGCTATGATGCTGAAAGGTATACCACTGGAATTTCAAATACCAACAGGGTCACCCATGGTGGACAGATTTCAGTAGAGCTTCTAGACTAAGACAAACTAGAAAGAAAAGCCTGGTGATTTCATTCTGAAAATTAGCCAGTGAAAACCTTATGGATCACAAAAGAATATTGTCCATATAGTGCTAGAAGATGAGCACCCTAGGTTGGAATGCATTAAAAATGCACAGTGGACTTGAGCATACCAACTGTCATGAAGGTGACACAGGGTCAGGCAATATTTCATTCAGTTGTACATGGAGTTGCCATGAGTCAGAATCCACTTTGTGGTAACTAATGACAACAACAAAAAAGTAGAATGCATGTATGAATACCCTGTATATTTTCGCAAAGACTATTTAATTCATTAAAAGCACCAGCATCTTTAGAAAAACTTGATTTGAGGGGATTCACATAATGGGCAAATGAGAGTCTATCTAGAGGAGGATAGACAAAATGGGGCAGAGCCTGGAAAACAAGTTCTGTGAAGAAGAATTGGAAGAACTGGTTACATGGAAATGGAAAATGGATGACTAGCTGGATATTCATTTTACTAAGTATTCAAAGGATAGTCTGGTATCTTGTGTTTCTTCAGTGGGCAGAAGTAGTCCAATAAGTATAGCATACAATAAGGGCAGATTTAGGCCACATATAAGGAAGAACAGTTCAAACTTCCAAACAAAAAGTATGACTGTCTCAAAGATGTGAATGTCATATCTGAAAAAAAATTAAGCAGACCCCAGACATCTGTCGAGGATGTTATAGGAGTGATTTCTATTTCTAAGAATAGAGGATTGGACCAGGTAACCTCAAGCATGTTTTCCAATTGCAGAAGTTTAGACTCTGCTAAACAATTAGTTTAATTCATTAGATTTTTCGACCTACATTTTAAATACTGTGCCAACCAGTGATTCTTAACTCCTCCTTTTTCTCAGAATCACCTCTGAGAGAGAGCGGTCTGGACCCTTCTTCCTTTACCCCTGAGATTTTGAGTCAGAAAGTTAGGGGTGAAATCCTGGCATCTGTTTTTTTGTTTGTTTTTAACTTTATATGTGATTCTGATGCATAGCCAGAGTTGAGAAGCTGTGATATGGATATCATCTGATTACCTTGACAATCTGAGTACTTTGGAAATAAAATCTGAGACCTCTCTGGTACCTACCTTTCCTCTGCTTACTTAGCTATTGAATTTTCTCGAGGGTGCTGTCCCTTCTCATGCCACAGCTCTCCTTTGATGATTTCACCCCTTCCAATGGTTTTAGATCCTACCTATAATCTGATAGAGCCCTGGTGGCGCAATGGTTGAGAGCTTGGCCACTAACCAAAAGGTCAGCAGTTCACATCCACTCAGCGGCTCCTTGGAAACCCTATGGGGTAGTTCTTCTCTGTCCTGTAGGGTCCCTGTGAGTCAGAATCAACTCAACAGCAATGGGTTTATAAGCTGATGGTCCCAGCTTAGACTTCTCTTGAGCTGTCTTCTCTACTGGACTGTGAATTTCTTGAGGTTAGGGTCCCTGTTTTATTCATTTTAGTATTACCAATGCTTACCACAGTGCTGGCACATAGTAAATAAACACTCAGTGAACATACTGAATGAATGAATACATCTACATCAGTGACATACATATTAAAAGCAAATCTGGACTTGGGGCTTATGAAGCTATATAAAACAGACTCCTATGACCAAATAGAATAATACTGACCAGATAAAAGACAAATGTAAAGAGCTCTGGTTCTCAAAATATAGAAATAAGTATGTGGGATTATACTTTATTCAGGGAATAAAATAAAAAAAGAATTAAAAATGAAAATTTAAATAATAGCTTTAACTTTGATTATAGTAACCTAGATTGTGTCTTATTTTAAAATTTTTACCATCAGAAATGAAATGCAAAAAATTCTGTCAGAAGAAAATGCGAGATAAACACTGAAGAATCATGCCATGATTTCTTCTCAGTGTTTGTTAAAGAAGTACTAGAATCCTTACACCTAACTAGTTATACAGTAAAACCTGCGAAAGCTGGATCTTGAGTAAGGTGGAAACCTGGCAGAGAAGGAAAATGCAAATATTTTCCACTAATAGAGAGCAGTAGAGCAATAGAGAAGTGGTAAGCTGCACCCTGTCAAAGGCGGACAACTAGTGAGACCCAGAAAAACAGCGCAGTCCTGTTGAGTTTCGGCTTTCACAGGTTTCACTGTATGAAAATATATTAGCATAATAAATAAAATTTAGAAAAAATATATAGAGAGAGATTATTTATTTAAAGAAATGGAATGTCTAAAAGGCCAGTTGCTATTGAGCTGATTCCAACTCATGGTGACCCATGTGTGGCAGTGTAGAACTGAGCACTGTAGGATTTTCAGTGCTGATTTTTCAGAAGTAGATTGCCAGGGCTTTCTTCTAAGGCACCTCAGAGTGGACTTGAACCGACAGCTTTTCGGTTAGCAGCCGAATGCATTAACCATTTACACCACCCAGGATTTGGAGTTTATGAAATCCACTTATTAGGTATTATTTTTAGTATTGAAGATAAATAAGCTTTTGCTTTTGTCATCTGGTTGTGGCCATACAATATAAAATAAAAATCTTAATAAGAAATATTCTTACAGTATTTCTGGAAATGAGATACGGAATTCAGTTTTTGTTGGAAGATTAATTCCCTCCTGGTTCAACTGAGAAAGTTAGACAATATGGCCTTTAATTCCGTTTCAGTTCTAAAGTTCTGTGGTCTGAAAGAAGGAACCCTGGTGGCGTAGTAGTGGAAGTGTTCAGCTGATAACCAAGAGGCTAGGGGTTCGAACCTGCCAGCTGCTCTGTGGGAGAACAGGGTGACAGTTTGCTTCTGTAAAGATTACAGCTTTGGAAACCCTATGGGGCAGTTCTGCTCTGTTCTATAGGGTCACTGTCTTAGTCATCTAGTTCTGCTGTAACAGAAAGACCACAAGTGGATGGCTTTAAGAAAGAGAAATTTATTCGCTCACAGTTTAGGAGGCTAGAAGTCCAAATTCAGGGTGCCAGCTCCAGGGGAAGGCTTTCTTTCTCTTTTGGCTCTGGGGGAAAGTCCTTGCATCGATCTTCGCCTGGTCTAGGAGCTTTTCAGCACAGGGAACTTGGGTCCAAAGGACACGTGCTCCTGGCTTCTTCTTGCTTGGTTATAATGAGGTCCCCTGTCTCTCTGCTCGCTTCTCTTTTATATCTCAGAAGAGATTGACTTTAGACCAAACCTAATCTTGTAGATTGAGTCCTGCCTCATTAACGTAACTGTCACTAATTCCACCTCATTAACATCGTAGAGGTAGGATTTACAACATATAGGAAAATCACATCAGGTGATAAAATGGTGGACAATCACACAATATTGGCAATGACCTAGTCAAGCTGATACACATTTTGGGGGGACACAATTCTATCCATAACATTCCACTCTTTGGCCCCCCAAAATTCATGTCCTTACCAAATATAAAACACAGTCACCCGATCATATCATAGCAAAAGTCTTAAATCAACTCCAAGACCAAATTCCAAAAATTCCACTGTATCTGTGAAGTCTAGAATACAAGTTATCTGCTTCCGAAGTACAATAGTGGAACAGGCACAAGCTAGACGTTTCCATTGCAAGTGGGAGAAATTGGAGGGAAAGAAGGGATAACAGACACCAAGCAAGTCAGCTGAACACATTACATTAGCCCTCAAGGCTTGAAAATAATCCTCTGTTCTCTGAGGCCATTTAGACAATGGCCCTGCCCTCTAGAGTCTGGGTTTTGGCTACACTCTCCAGATTCTGCATGGAAGTCCCTCAGCCCTGGGCTTCAGATCTGCCTTCCAGGCCCACTGGAATGGCAACACTGTTCGCTCGAATTTGGTGGCTGTGGGTCGGCTCCAGCACTGCGTTGCACTGATCTCCTGGTTCTGCTGCTGCCGTTTCTCAGCTGCTGCAATTTCCACTGTAACAGCTCTCCTCACTTCCTTCTGAGTCCTCACCAGAATTGTCTTTGATGTCCGTAATTCTACCAACAGTCTCTTCAGTGCAGTCTTAAAACTCTTCTAGCCTCTACCCATTCACAGTTTCAAAACTGCTTCTACATCTTAGGTATCTGTTACAGTAGCAGCCCACTCTAGGTACCAAATACAGTCACTACGAGTTGGAATCCACTCGACAGCAAGGGGGTTTATGGTTCTAGAACAATTAAAAATGGGAAAAAAAACTAATTGAAAAAATAATAGCAAGTGAATATGGTAATTTTGTATCAACATCCAGAAATATTTCATATTCTCAAATGATGAGGTACCACAGGTTTTCATTACACGAGACTTGATTTATTGAAGAGTGACTGTTTCTCTCTTTCTTGTGCATTTTTATTTTCCTGTACCTCTTATTAAGCATCCCCTTTTTGTTTTTGGTAAATAGGCTGTCTCTGAGAATCAGACTTCACTCTTAGGAGAACCACCAAAAGAAATTCGGCTCAGTAAGAATCCATACTTGAACCTGGCGAGCGTGCTGCCCAGTGTGTGCTTATCATGTAAGTAGGGGCTCGGTGTTAATATGTTCGAGTTTCACTGGATAATTTCCATAATGAGTTTTGCTTTAATCTTTAACTTAATGGAAGCAAATAATGCCTGTTGACCAAATTAAGCTTGAAATTATGACCCCCAATCTCTAAATTAATGGAATAATTAAGACACTTAAAATGCACACTATTTTGAGGAAATATATCTTATAGTATTTTTATTAAGAATATTATCAATTTATTGAATTATTATAGAATTAGGATTAAAAATGGGACAAAGGAAGTATTTGGCAATAAAGTAGTTCATATAAAGTTGGATTTCTAAACCCAAGGTTAAACCTCTAAGTAATCTAATATATCCAGGGTATTTGCTTATTTCCTGAGACATAGACAAATCTCAGAAAATAAGCAAAAGTACCCCCAAAATATATGAGCTATTCATGAGTTCAACAAAAGTGGAATTCTCATTTAGTTTCTTGGGGAGACCTTCTCAGACTGTCAGTCAGGGTATCCCATTGTATACTGTTGCCATTGAGTGGATTCTGCCTCATAGCGACACTGTAGGACAGAGTAGTACTTCCCTATAGGGTTTCCAAGGAGTGGCTAGCAGATTTGAACTGCCAGCCTTTTATTTAGCAGCCAAGCTCTTAACCACTGCACCACCAGGGCTCCCAATCAGTGTATAGTAACTTTAATTCAAATATAGTCTTAAGATCACAAATGTGGTGTGCTCTAGGCATAGAGATATTCGCTGCAACATTGGTTGTCAGTGTGAAAATTTGGAACATGCCTTAGTGTTCATCAGTAGAGGAATGGTTAAATAAATAGTTCATCATCAAATGGAATACTATGCAACTTCTTAAAAATTGAGGGATATCTACATGTACTAATATAAAATGATTTCCAAAGCATGTTGTTGAATGGAAAAAGCAAATATATGCATACTGTGACTTCATTTATGTTTATTTAAAGCTATATATTATTACATGTACATATATGAGTGTGTAAATGCATAAAATAAATCTGGAAAAATGAATTCTAAACTGTGAAGAAGAATAGAATTGAGGTGAAGAATGTAAAGAGGTGAAGTGTGAATTTCATTTTTAATGTACATTCTCTGTATTTAATTAAGTATTCTCTTATACCCAAACATTACTTTGTAATTTTTTTTAAAAAGCAAGCAAACGTTTTAAATGTGCTTCTAATGCCAGACATGCTTTCTGTATGGTAGTCTCACCTACGAATTGATGATGGCAACCACTGCATTAACAAGAATGTTTAATTTACATTTTGTATGCCTTGTTTTAGAGATTAGATTTTTTTTTAATGTTTTCATCAAAAGTATTTACCCATAGGGCAAGTCTCCATTTCATTTGTTTCAAATGAATGAGGCAGTATGTCATAGTATATTTTTTTCCCTGAGGATAATATAGATAAATGTCAATATCATATATTGGTAAACCAAAATTTGTATTCTTTTTGAGAATATGCTGAGTTCATGAGTTTTGTACTGTTTATCATTTATAATAAAGCAACCTAAATAAAATAAACGTATTATATTTTATCTTTAGCCCCTGCAAGTAAAACCACTGTACAGAAGACGGGAATTGCAAGCAACATTCTGGATGCAATCTCTCAGGGAAATGAATCACAACACACACTGGAAAAGTGCATTGCTTATTCTCAACCTTTTGGTGACTATGCACAGGTAAGTGATTCTCAGGTTCTGATGATGTATAGAAAAACTGGTTCAACTGTATATCAAGTTCACTGAATATGAAGTTGTAGTACCTGTAATATCATCATAAGAAAGGAAAATTGCACTGGTCTGCACATTTCTTGCTCACCATTTGAAGTTTTGGGACATGTTCAAGAGACGTCATTGTGCACTAGGTATTCACCTCTGATTGTTTACACCAGCAGTCAGCAAACTATAGTCCACAGATCAAATCCAGCCACCCCGTTTTTGTAAATAAAGTTTTATTGGAACATAACCATGTCTGTTCATTTACATATGGTCTATGGTGCTTTCACCCTACAATAGCAGATTTGAATAGTTGCATCAGAGACCATATGGCTGGCAAGACTAAAATATTACTGTCTGCTGACCTCTGGTTTATTCCAGTGTAGACCTGACTAAGAAACCCAAGGAGATGCCACTGTTCTTCACCAGTGCTTATAGATGTAGACAGAGAAGCATAATTACAGGTACTACTTTACTCACTTTAGACCAATCAATCAATCAATCAGTAACATAAACAGTATTATAGTCAACAGATGTACTGAGTCATTACTTAAATGTCAATTTTGCTTTGCCTCATTCTTCTTCAGCTGATTCTTAGCGCCTAAGCTGAGAGTAGATATCATGTTAGCACAATATGATTATGTGATTATGAGAGCTTTATAATTAACGGTTCTGATTCTTTCTTATTTCTCAGAGCAGTCAGCTTCTTCTCAGCTCTATCCTGTCTGTTGGAGCAGTGCCTCCACTTCGATTTCCTTGAAGCAACTCTGTGCCTGCCTTACCAGTGTGAATTCACTTACAACAATTCATGCCTGAGTATACTTTGATAGGATACTAGAAACACAGGTCAAATAGATACTGTAAATATGGTACAGCTGGCTATTAGCAAAATACGTGATAAAGTCTCTTATCATATACTTGTGGACAAGATGGAGAAATTTGGGTTGGAAGATGGTATGATTAGGTGGCAACATACCTATATTTAAAGGGTAATTATGAATTAATACAGTCTGGAAGGCATTCTCTTACATTGTTTCATAAGCCACCATCTTTGGTCCTTTATTATTTAAAATTTTAATAATGACTTTTATAAGGATATTGATTGATGATTATATTTGCCGCTGATAAAAACCTATGAAATTATTAGAGATGTTGAAAACATTTATGAATTATTTATAGTTCTGACAATTGGAAACAGCCTAAATTTCCAACAGTTCATAAGACTGAGTAAATAAATTATATCATAATTATACCAGAAAATATAATGGAAACATTAAAACTTCTGTAATATGTAAACACATGGTAAATTTTCATAATCTTGTTAATTTTAAAAGTTTATACCATGTAATCCTGTACAATTCCAGTTTTTTTTATTTGTTTCTTTATAAGGAACAAAATTTATAAACAGAAAGAAGCACAATAACTATTGTAAAATTTAGTTAAATGTATGATTTAAGCTTAAAAACTATTGTTTTGTACTTACCTTCTCATTTCTTATATTTTACTTTTAAAGTTTGTCTCGTTTTCCCCAGTTAGTAGTTTCGCTTCTTAGATTGCAGTGTTTATTGTGTATTCATCATATTCATAGAAGACACTCTCCCTCATTTACATATGCAGAAATTCTCTGATACAGATGCCTCTTGCATTACCATGCTTCCTTCCTCCTGACTCTACTACTACATTTGGTTACCCCAGCGACTGTGAAGGAGCGAATTCTCCCTGCACTGAGGGTCCTCTTAGGCAGTCCCTGTTGCTTTGTCATGCTGGTACATAAAGTGAGATTTGTACTGTCTCCCTTGTGTTCCTTAATCCTTATCAAGTAAACTTAATTGTTACAGTTCAGTGGTAGCATTCTTGCCTTCCATGCCAGAGGCCCGGGTTCAGTTCTCGGCCAGTGCACCTGAAGTGCAGCCATGACTCACCTGTCATTGGAGGCTTGCATGTTGCTGTGATGCTGAGCAGGTTTCAGTGGAGCTTCCAGACTAAGATAGACTAGGAAGAAAGGCCTGGCCATCCACTTCTGAAAATCAGCCAGTGAGAACCCAGTGGATCATAGCATGAGGTCTCCATGAGTTGGGCCAACATGATGGCTGCTAACAACAACAGTGGAATAAAGTAGCTAGAAGAAAGGTTGTCATATTTGGAAATGGAGGAAAAAGTCTAAGGAAAAGGAACCAACAGTTTTTTTTTCTTTTTTTTTTTAAAAAAAACACTTGCTATATGCTTTACAATGTAAGCATTTAATCTTTCTAACAATCTATGAGATTTAAATTACAACCTCCATAGTATAAGTTGAGTGGTAATCTTTCCAAATTCCTGTAGTTAGTAAATGCTTTCTCTGATTCCAAAGTCCACTTTTTTTTTCTATTATACCTTGGAGAAGTTTCTTCAGGCATGGAAGTAGTGTCTGATAGGAACTGTTTGTACAGGCTGCTGTGCATAAGGATCAGGAGAGATGCATGAGTCAAGAATAGATAGATGGAAATGGTAATCCCATTTCAGTAGAAGGATCACATTTAAAAATCACAATTGGCACAGTATTGATGAAGTTACTTAATATTGAACGGTCCAGCCTACAAATAGCAATTATTGATGTTGGACTAAATATGAAAGACAAAGAACTATTTGAAGGTACTGGAGAGTAACCAGAAGACAGAAACTGAGGAGGAGTCAGCCCTTAGAAGAGGGAAACCGCACTGTCCTAGATTTGTGTTTCTGTGGCTGTGGGCATGCTAGCAGCACTACTCTATGCAGAAAGCTGCAGTCCTGATGACAGGAGGGGTCAGAGGTCAGAGTCCAAGGCTGTTAGAGAGGCTGAAAAGCAAGAGGAGAAATCCTGGACAAGAGGAAGCTTCATAGAGAGAAGCCTCAAAAGAAGCCTCAAGATCTGCATATAAATGCAGCCCATATACTTTGCTGATTCCTATGTTTGTAAGAAGGACAATCTAAGGAACCTACTGAAAAGCAATAGTGGGAAGACTGAAAGAACTGAGAAGAGATTCTACTGCTCGCCGCCACAGAGGAGACAGTGTTTGGAGTTTGAGTTCAGCAAAGTTAATTCCTTACAACAAGAATTAGCACTCTTAAGAGGAATATAGTAGAATCCATAGTCTCTATAGTATATCATCCATAATGTCCAGTAAACAATAAAAATTACTAGTTGAAGAAATAAGAAAATGTGACCCACCATTAAAAGAAAAAGGAGTTAATAGAAACTGACCCCCAAATGACCCAGATGTTAGACTTAGCAGACAAGGACTTTTAAAGTAGTTAATATAAATGTGTTTAAGAACTTAAAGGAAAATAAGCTCATAATGAAGAGATAGAGAATCTGAGCTGAGAAATCTAAGCTAAAAATACGGAAATTCTAGAACTGAAAAATATAGTATTTGAAATAAAAAAATATACTGACTGGGCTTAACAAAAGATTTGAAAAAGGCAGAAAAAGGTTCAATAAACATGAAAACATTGTCAAAATAATTCCATCTGAAGAATAGAGAGAAAAAAATTGAAAACCATAGATCCTCAAGTGCCAGTATCGGACAGTCTAAAGTACGTGTACAGTCAGTCCTCTGTATCCACAGGTTCTGCATGCACAGATTCAACCAGCTGCAGATTGAAAATATTTTTTAAAAAAAAGCAAAACTTGAATTTGCTACGCACCAAGCACTACGCTGAATTCACGCAAATGAAGTGTTGTGTAGGCATACCCTGCTGCAGCCTCCCTCCATTTCACAGATCCTCAGTCTCTCTTCAGCACTCATTTGAGCATTCTTCGCCTTGCTTCTTGTCATTATTCCCAAAACAGTACAGTATAACAACTATTTACATAGCATTTACATTGTATTAGGTATTATAAGTAATCTAGAGATGATTTAAATATAAGGGAGGATGTGCATTTAGGCTATAAGCAAATACTATGTCATTTTCTATAAGGTACTTGAGTATTCTTGGATTTTGGTATCCGTGGGGCAGGCGGGTGTTCTGAAACCAATCTCCCATGGACACTGAGGATGACTGTAATTGGAGTCTCAGGAAGAGAGGAAAAAGATACAATACTTGAAAAAATAATGGTCAGAAATTTCCTAAATTTGGTTTAAAAAGCTTACAGATCCAAGAGGCTTACAAACTAGGATAAATAAAAAGAACTTTTTACCTCAGAATGTCATAGTTAATATGCTGAAAAACAAGCTTAGATAGTCATGAAAGCAGCTAGACAAAAACAATGCACATTATCTTAAGACAGAGTCTCTCAGCCTTGGGACTATTGACATTTTGTGCTGGGTAATTCTCTGTTGTGAGGGCTGTCCTGTTCATTGTGCGACATTTGGCAGCATCCTTGTCTTCTAATCGCTAGATTACCTCCCCCCTCCCCTTTGAGAACCACTGTGTTAAGTGAAACAACAGTACAAATAATGGCTAGCTTCTCATCAGAAACAGTGAAGGTCAGAAGATAAGAGAATGATATCTTTAAAGTGTTGGAGACCATTGTTAACACAGATTTCTATATCCTGTGAAAATATCCTTCAAAAATCAAGGCAAAATAAAGATGTTTTCAGATAAATGAAAACAGAATTTATCACTGCCAGACCTACACTACAAGAAATGCTAAAGGGTTTTCGTCAGGTTGAAGGAAAGTGAAACCAAGTAGAAACTTGGATCTACAGGAAAAAAACAAAGAGCAATAGAACTGGTAATTATGTGGGTGAATAAAAAAAGACTATACATTTTCTCTTAATTTCTTTAATAGCAAAAATAAAAACAGTGTATTGTGGATTTTATCATGTATATAGATGTAATATATTTGACAACAGTAGTACAAAGGACAGTATAGGGGTAAGTGGAATTATATAGTTGCAGGTTATTATATTATACATGAAATAGAACAATAAAATCTCTAAGTAGACTATGATAAGGGGTGGAATGCACGTTGTAGTCCTTAGAGAAACTATTAAAAAGTAATA